TGCCTCTGGCTCCCTGAACAAAGCAAGAGAAGGGCAATTACCTAGTAATTTTCCACATTCTCAGAGAAGGTCTTAAACAATGAAAGTTCAAAATCCCAACCAGTATAACCGGGAACACTTTATGCCTTCTTAAGTAAGGAAAAGACTAACAACAATTCTGCAGAAAAAAAAAAAAAAAAAACAAACAGCAGTAGCCAAGAACTTGTTGCTGGATATATCCAGTTTTTATCACATGACCAGACTTAAATAAACCAAAAAGTGATTTGGCTTTTTTGCATGCCAAATCCCATCCGAGGTAAGCTCAGGGTGTTACTCTCTCTGCATCCACAGCTCCTGATACGATGAGGCTTGCTTGGATGAGAAGATTCTGTGGGGAGGAGTTTTCTGCTAAAACTCAACTTGAGATAGGATACAGAATCAGCCTACTGTTCACTGTAATTGAAATGACTGAAAAAGGAAGTAAATTTGAATGGCTGATAATACTTGTCCAAAACTGTAATGCTCATGTATTCAGAAGCTATACATGTTAACATAATATGTTTGTATCAACAACACAAAGACAGCATTCATATCATAAATCAGTCGTGCCCTCAAACAAATTATCATGTAATGGTGTAGCTTTGGTCATCACACCTTCCTTATGCCCACTAATGAAAATCAACTTGTCAGGTAACATTTTTTCCACCCAAATAAGCAATTTCCTCTCAAAAAAAAAAAAAAAATCATACCTTGAACAGTATGCATAATCAGAAAGTTTTAGATGTGCATCAATTCTTAAAAGTTAGAAGCAGCAGGGAGACAGTGAAGTTTGTACCAGACACAGAGTTTTTTAGGATACATACAAAACTGTTAATAATAACTTGTAAAAGACTGAGAGACTTGGCAATAAAGTAGCTGATTAAATTAAAAGTTGATACAGGGAAAATAACATAAAGAGAAAAAAATCCCATAGCCTGTCCACATACAGAGACAAAGCATTACCGTTTTTCAGTAAGATACTGAAGACTTTGTTGTTATTTCTTTGAAAATGATGGCTCAGCATCTGATCATGCTCAAAAAAATCCCCAGTGAAACATCAGGGATTGTTACAAAAGGCATTGAGTACAAAATGCTAGACAAATACATGTGTGCACAGTTTGTGTACCATTGCCCTTAAAATATCTCCAAGATGGTTGCACTGGTCGCATTGCCAGGAAAACATCAAGTGTTTGTTTCTCAGTGTCTGGCAGCATCCGTGTCCAGGCACCAGCACCCAGCCTTCCACTTGGTAGGTGTAAGGATCAAAATTCAACTCACAAGCACCTTTTACTGAGTTGAAACTTCAGTGACAAAGAAACGTGTTTGACTGTACCGTGAAAACTATCTGGTCAGCTCTCAGGCACTCAGAAAATAAATCCATTACCCATTTTTATTAATTCGTATGTTGGGTTCATGTGGCAGGGGTTTGGTAACAGGCGGAGAGGGCTACAGGGGTGGCTCTTGTGAGAAGCTGCTGGAAGCTTCCCCTGCTCCAAGTCAGACCTGCCTCTGGCCAAGGCCAAGACGCTCAGCGACAGTCATAGCGCCTCTGTGATAACATATGTAAGGTGGCAGGAAAAAAAACCTGCAGCAGAGAGAGGAGTGGGATGTGAGAGAAACAACCATGCAGACACTGAGGTCAGTGAAGAAAGGAGGGGGAGGAAGTGCCAGAGCAGATATTCCCCTGCAGCCCATGGTGAGACAGCAGCTGTGCCCCTGCAGCCATGGAGATCAGTGATGGAGCAAAGATCAATCTGCAGCCCGGGGAGGACCCCACACTGGAGCAGGTGGCTGCACCTGCAGGAGTTTGTGACTCCATGGGAGTGACCCATGCTGGAGCAGTCTGTTTCTGAAGGACTGCACCCCACAGAAGGGACCAACACTCCAGCAGTTCATGAAGAGCTGCAGCCCCTGGGAAGGACTCACATTGGAGAAGTTCGTGGAGGACTGTCTCCCGTGGGAGGGACCCCAGGCTGGAGAAGAGGAAGAGAGTGCGAAGGAGAGTCCCCTCCTGAGGAGGAAGGAGCAGCAGAGACACATGATGAACTGACCACAACCCCCACTCCCTGCCCCCTGTGCCACTGGAGAGGAGGAGTTAGAGAAATCAGGAGCAAAGTTGAGCCCTGGGAAGAAGCGAGGGGTGGAGGAAGGTGTCTTTTAAAGATGTTGTTCTCTTTCTCATTATCCTACTCTGATTTGGTTGGTAACAAATTAAATTAATCTTTCCACAAGTTCAGTCTGTTTAGCTTGGCATTATTTTCATTTGTGGCTTGTGCTACTCACGGTGCTGATGCAAGTCTCGGTGCTTGAAACATCAGACCAGGATCAGCTTGAACTTTCAAGCATTGTGAATATCACCTGAGTACCTACCATAACCCACAGCAAGTAGCCTCTCTTCAAGTGAGTGTCATGACAGTGGCAGTTAGTCTTGGAATGTCTGATGTCACCTACTTAAACAGGTATCAGTAAGGCCAACCTTTTAAACTAAGCACACACTTAAATGCTTTTCTGAATGAAGGTCAGCATGCTCAAAATTTAGAAGGATCAAGTCTAAAGTTTGGTTTTACATTTGAAGGAATAGCTCCAAGAGTATTTTTCTGACATCCCAACCTAATCCTAGGTATGTCTGTTGTACCAGACATGGCATATCATAAAAGTTTTATGACAATTACTTTGGAATGACCTGCACTCTCCATTTCCTGGTTTGCTCTGGGGAAGTAACATTCCCACCACAGGCTTATGCCAAGAAGTCTCTCTACTGTGCCATTACCCAGCCAGCTCTCCAGCCACCACTGTCTTAAGGTGATAGACTGAGTAGCAGGCTAATGACTTCAAAGCGTCTGGTGAAGGTGGCCTGTTTCACTGCTACATTCTCAAGCAGATGAACTGGAACTTTTAAAAAGAAAGTTAATGTATCTACTAAAATGCTAAATTTAAAACTTGGAACGTTTCCTATCTGCTACCTTCCATTTCAAAACACAGGGAGTTAACTAGACCTGACTCTTTGGCAGTGGTCCATTTAAATGGCACAGATTTGCCTACCTAACAAAGCCCTTTTGTTCCCTACATCTGTGAAACTATGGTGCACTGTAACTTTTCACGTTTCCCAGGTTACCTTGGCGCCAAACTGTGACTAAATGCCTGTAAAAGACTTTTAACTGTAGCTTTAGAGGAATATGATATTCACAAGGAAGAATGATGGCTTTCAGTAAGTGCCCCATGGTAGGAAGAACAATGCTGAAAATCAGCTGTGTCTCAAATGTTCACAAAGCTTCTGGAAGACGTGTGGCTTAATAAAGAACTGCACTCTGTGCTCTGCTCTGTTACAGGCTGTTGTTATCACGTTGGTCTTTTCTTTGGTTCCCCTTCCTCACATCATACTTGTTTAGCTCTATCATCTGACGCAAAGGGAGGAGGGGACTGTGACATATCTTTACAAATGAATTAATTGTGATGACCTCCTGTATTTGAAGAAACATTAAATTCTAGAGCTGATTTTCTGCTCTGTGAGAAGATATGGATCTTTTGTCATTGATTTCACAAGGGCCGGAATCAATTCCAAGCACATACACATATGGTGTTAATAAGAGACCTTAAAGTAAAACAGAATATAACTTGACTAACGTAACCACTTTGGGGAAATAACCTTCCGATATTTCTGTGGCTGCAGAAAGTCTCAGATGGATAAAATGGGAGTAAGTCAGTGTCATGCAGATTCAATGGGTAGGAAACACTTGCAAGTGCTGGAGTCTGTGGTGAAGTTCCAGAAGCTCCCTCCATGCCTTATGCCATAGGGAATAATAATCAGGAGAGGTTTTTTATTTGCAACAGTTCTAACATAAGGACCTGAGAAGTTATTGCATGACCACCTGCAGACAGACCAAAGGGTCCTCTGCACTGGAGCTAAATATGAGGGAGTTCCAGTCTAGAAGCTAAACATGGATGTACTAAATTCGACCAAAGATACATCTAGTGTGACATATATCCTGTCATCAGCAGGGTTTTCTGAATGTTTTGGGGTTTTTTTTTTTTTTCCTGAGACATTCAGGGTCTTTTCCTGAGATATTTAAAATATTCTAGGGCAACAGTTCACTGTCGGTGAACCCCAAATGGATACTACATTCATTGTAGCACCACATCTGAGAGAAATAAAAATAATGCAAAGACCAGGAAGAGCTCATGGATGACTACGGTTATGTACCATTCAAAGAATAATTTGACAAGACATGAGAAGGTACAGGATTTAACAGACAGCAATATGATGGGCAAGATACTCAAAGGTATTCTATCACACTTAATGTATGAATTATTCCCCTCTAGAGTGAATACAACTGAAATAACAAATCTTGAGAACTTTTCTTTGTCCATGATGGATGTAAACAATAAAACATCACCATAACACTGCATTTTTAAAAATAATTAATTTTTTCTTATTTTATTTATTATTATTACCACAGCACCCAGGCCATGTCATATAACAACCACCTACACTATGCAGAGTAACAAACAGTCCCTGCCTGAAAGGACTAACAGCATAATTAAATAAATTTATGTAAAACTCAGGCCCAAAGAAGCTGCAAATCCTGTCTACAGTTAATGAGAGAGGCTGTGGCAGAAGCCATTGCAGAATTCCAGAATGAAATCTGGCATGACTGGAGTCAGCTGCAGAACTTTCACTATCTTCAGAGAAAACAGGACTGAAACCATATGTTTCTGCTTCATAGGTCTTTGCTCAGACAACCCAAACCTTGCATTTCATAAGTTTTCTTATTTCTACTCCTTGCTCTTTTGCACCAAACACATTTTTCCTGTAACTTCTGTTTATGAACTGATACTTTTATAATACAGTTGGGATAAAACTCTGTATAATACTACTGATCTGTTTCCAAGTGTTCACTAGTTAAAGTATGGAACCTTTCAAAAGGATATATCCAAAATTTACACCGTGAGGCTTTTTTCACAATATATCCTCCTTTGAAATGCTATTTCATTTCTTCTTGTTCTTTATCCTGCATTTCTACTGGTGTGTTTAATAAGACTTGTCTTTCAGATTTCTGTTTCTTCCTTAAAATAAGAAGAATTGCTACAATTGGGATATAGGACAATCCACGTAATACTGCTGGCAGGCCCAGATAGAACCACCTGAAATAAAGAATGAGCTTCATTAAATATGTGCATTCATTAAAAAATAGCAAAACAATTCAGCATACTTTGTTTTGTGACAATTGCCCAGCCACTCAAAAGCTTGTACCCTGATTCTTTTGGATCTCACAGAAGATAAATCAATATGAGAACAGAGAATATGTCAGTGTCAGCAAAATGGCTATTTACATCACCCAACTTCAGGCAATTAATTTACCCATTGAAGTTAGCCATGTGGTACCCCTATGGCTTTCTCCACAGGGAAAAGAGAGAGCCCTGAAAAGGGCAGCTCAGACCACCTGAGTAAAACTTCTGGGCACGCATGAGCCAGCATTCTTCTTCCAAACCAACCTCAACACAGGATTAAAAGTTATCAGCCTGAGGCCATGGGTTCAACAAGGCTTTTCAAAACTCCCACAGTGTTCCTTGAAGGACTACGAAAGCATGAAGCATAGTATCCTGGGCCAATTTCCAACTTGGGTAACTATATACTCTCTATAAATTTCTCCTCTGTTTTAATTCCAGTATTATTTCAACCATTTTCTGTTCAAAGATATTGCATAGTCAGCCATTAAACATCTGACATTTCTCCCACCAGGGCTTACTGCTTTAAATTTTTTTTTAATCAGAATTCAGTGTTTTAAACTCTGTTGTCACGAGAGGCCATTGGTGAATGTAATTATGGCACCAGAACTTTTCTGTTCAAAGGGCATTCCAACATCTGTGGCAAAGGTTGCACTTGACAAATAAAGCCAATGCCAGAGAAAAGTGTTGTGTGAAATCTCTAACACAGGAGCAGTTTGTCTACTAGGAAAAGATAAAGAGCATAAAATTATATCTCTATGCATGTAATAACGCAGTAAAAAGGAGAAATTAAAATAAAGTAGAAAAATATACCTGTATGGGACAATGTCATACATCATACATGCTCCTTCTCCACCACAAGTCATAGTACCCCACTTCAAGCAAGTGGTATCTATCAAAGCTCCAAAATAAATGGGAGATGGAATTCCAGCTAAAAAGAATATTAGCAATGCATTTGTGAATAACATATTTCTTCTGGTTAGCAGGTACACTATAGAACCTATGCCCTTTCTCACCTACTCCATCTGTCCTGTCCTCTTACAGCATGAACCGTGTTTGTTTCTTACGTTCTCTCTTCTTCCTTATCCACCTATCCTCAACCAAAGATTTTCTTTCCTGTTGCCTGTTTAACAATATGTATACATGCTACAATATGGACTGTGAGTCCTATTCAAAACTCAACATTTTCTCTCATCAGGGAGAGTGAGTGTTGTGTTCCATAAACATATAACAAGACCAAAGGAATGTATAATGGCTTTCAGATGAGCAGCAGATGTAGTCAGCCTATTAACCAGTACAAATAAATGCAAATTGAAAGCTGTTCTAATTTGCTACATTGCATAGATCTGTAAAATCCCCAAATTCTCCCTGATTAAAGGCACTCCATAGAAGTATCCTGCGCCATGTCCATAGCCCTGATGAGATACTTATCTAACTCTAGATTAGGCCTCACTGTGCTTCTGAAGGATGTTACAGCTTTTCTTACCAAGTACTCTTGAAGCTAGTCCATGGACACCCACTCCAAGTGACTTTTCTTCAGGTTTTAAAGACCTGTAAGATAATTACATTGTACACCAATTAGTAGAAGTGACATTTATAAGAAATGTTTACCCATTTTTTTCAATCAAACTCTTCATCACATTAGGCCCAAATAATTCTAATTAGAGCACTGGTTGAAAAAGTTCATTGTCCTCATTAAGTGATGTTTACTGAACTTCCTTAACTAGGACTGCCAGATCACAAAAGGAAAAGCTATTCTCCCGCTATCGTCTATGTGCACTGAGGCCAGCACAAAGTGCAAGGCAGCTGTGCCTTAATCAACATCATGATGTGATCAATGAACACACGGGTTTCACACACCTCTCAGTATCTCAGTCCACTGACTCAGTGGTCCTAATTCAGGATACAGCTGATAACCAGAAGCAGCAATAAGTTATAAAGCTGACATGACACTAAACCTTAACACAGGACAGAAATTACATCTTTCTATTCTTCTTCCCTCCATACACAAGCTAACACGCTTTTAATTCCTGGGAGTGGTTGACCTCAGAATAAAAAGTCCAGTAGGTTTCTTACAATAAGGACATTTTACGATACCTTATTAAGACCATGTACCCAGGCATGGCTGCCAAGGAATAAATGAAGCTGCCAACTAATGACACTATTAAAAAATACTGAAGCTTCTTGCCACAGTCTTCATCCTCTTCACACCGGCCCAGAACTGCAGAGACATTTTGAGATGAAAACCCTGAAGCAGCAACACAGGTGCAGTTTTCAAATACCTGTCAAAAGAGTATTTTAATCACACAAACTTGTCAAAACTCACAGATTGAGTGTGAAACTTGCACAGCTGGCACCTAGCTCACTCCCTCCTGTACTTGAGTATGTTACAGATGTGCAGCACTGCACTGCAGCCTCTCTCCCAGTATAACAGGCACAGGTCCAACCATCATCTGTATGCGGCATATAGGGGTTAGAGAGCGGGAGGGAGCTAAGGTCCTTTCACGTAGCTGGGACTGTGCTTCAAGGAGGCTATGATCGGGAGGGTCCTTGTATTTCCCAGCCTGGTTATCTGGTCCTTCCAGTGCCAATAGATCTGACTTGAGAATATACCTTGAGAATAATTTCTCACTCCACTTTAAGCATTTACGATTCCTTCAATTAATAGAATAAAAGGAGGCTTCTTCATTATATCCTTTAGCTTAAACTAATTTTCATATTCAGTTTGGAATTTCTGTTGCCACTCAATTAATTTGTCCACACTATTTGTCACCTTATATATGCAATTAAATGTACATGTATAGATATTTTCCACCCTATATTGAAATGGGTATTTCCCACTCACTATATTTTATAGTTACAGTACAATAAAATGTATGCTTTACCACATTTTTTCCAGTTCCTCTTGAGGCTTTACACCCAGCAAGACACGGTGACACGTAAGTGATTCCATTGCTCCCACAAACAGGGTCCCATATTTTAAGTGGGCAATCGCAATCCCTGTTGCAGTCAGCAAGTAGAGTATTTTCTGCATATGAAACTTGCTTTATTCTGAAATACGTTTAGAAGATGAATAAATATTTCAGTAATGAAATACCTACAGTAACCATTTGCAATGGTTAAGCACACAATTCAATACGCTCCTATCCAGGAGTCATGCCTTTCTATCTTTCTATAGGATATTATATTATATTGCCAATTCATAGATAGGTATGCATACTTCACAGCATTTTTCTCATCTATGGCATATATGCTCTTGATTGTCTATAAGCATTACACATATACCTACCTGTGTATCTTACAGGCGCACAACCCCTCCCAATGATTAATAGCAGCCTTCAAATCAAGAAACTGCAGATAAAATATCTTCTGATAACTTGATAGCAATCAAATTCTGGTACACCAGTGTGAGATAAAGAAAGAGGGTTGTCCCTCTCTAATTCTCAGATTGCATTAATGTATGCCTAATTTGATCAACAACTTTTTATTTTACCTACAGTTGCATGACTTGAATATATAATTATATTAGTAAAAGAATTATTATGGACATGTAATTTCACAAGTCTTGATGTGAATATCTTTTTTAATACACTTAATTTTTTGAAACAGGGATAACAGAAGATAGACCAACTGTCTCATATAAGTAAAAAGCCCTGAGAATTCAGAACATGAAACTCAAGTGTTCCAAAGCTATGGAGTCCCTGGCTGATTCTTCACAGGAAAAATCATTTCGGTGTCTTAAGTCCTCTTGTGTCTTAAAGAACATACCCTTCATAGGAAACTGTTAGGCCAGCAACTGGTGAAGTATCACAGACATTCCAAAACACAGCAAAGTAGAGAGCGAATTCCAGTGAAGATAGCCAAAATGCTATATTTGCAGCCTGATAGATATTTATCTTGAATTTCTTCATTAATAAGCCTCCAACAAAATACCCAACGCATATAACCGGTAAGTTGTAAACACCTGTTCAAACAAGTGAAACTTCCATGTTAAAATAAAGGAGACCATCAAAGCTACTCATAAGGGGAGACTGTATTTGGCAAAGACTCATGTAGTGCCTGTGACTGAATAATTTAACTACAGTCAGAAATGGGTCTCTACTAGTTCCCTTGGATACCCAAAACATCTGCCAAAGTCAACAGCTTGGCAACTGCTTGGAGAGCAAACTAGAAGTGATTCACTAAACTGAAGTGATTCTTTGTAAAATTGCAATCTAGAGTTGCAATCTAGTTCTAGCACGAAAAAACCCAGCAACAACAACAACAATACAGCCTCCCTAGCTGAGAGAAAATCAACAGGAAGATAAGCTAGTAGAGCACATCTTGGTGCACACAGTGTCGCAGAGAGGAGGAACAGACTTTCAGTTTTGATATGAGATTACTGAACTTGCTCTCAGGATTCTTTGTTGTTTGATACTTGAAATACTAGGGCCTGAGCAGTGAGGCCCTGAACCAAAGTTGACCTCTAGAAGAACCTCACAACCTAACAACATATCTAATCTGTATAAATATTGATCATATATGCAATGTATTACCTTATTAATATATACCAATTTATAACAGCTTTGTTGTAATGCTTATAGAGCTTTGCTGTAACACTTGCTGTGTAAGGTTAGCCAGCAGAAAGATACTAATTGTGTAACAATAGCCTCATTTGCCAAAAACAGATAAGCCTCTAAGTAAAAGAATGTTAGAAAACCACAGCAGATGCTTTTTTTGCAGCTTAAGATATAAAGTTGTTTGTTCAACTGTATAAAAGCAGGGAATGTTTGCAGGGAAATTTGGAAGCCTCATCTATACAGTGGATGCACTGTATAGAGATTTCCCAATTGCCAAGAAGGGTTCTCCCAATCCTCACTGCAACCAGGCTCCCCAGTAACTGTGTATCTGGATGATGGCAATGTATTATTAGGGCATTGGTGATGTACCTTTCTTAATCACTATCGCTAACTCTATGTAGTAATGATTAGGTGCATTACCTTATTATATGCTTGCTATAGCAGTTTGCTTATTATTTTGCTGCTTTACCTTATCTTGCTTTAATTTATTTTCACTGTATTATTTTTCTCATTATTTTATCACTTTAAACATAAGAAAAAATAAGCTTAATTCTTTAATTTGATGCCTGTGTTCTTTGTGCTAGCCCCGTCAATTGGCAAAACAATACCATAATGAAACACAGACTGACTGAAAGACATTTAGGAAGTAGTTTTACAGAAACATCATATGGCTTGGTTGGCTTTGCTCAAAGCAATGTTGGTTCTCTAACAATACTTGCCTGTGGGTGGGCAAGTTATTAAACCTGAATGTGGATCCTCTCAAAGTACCATATATTTCAATACATAAAGCAGTCTGTCTGAAAAACAAGTCAGCAGTGCAATGTAAATGGCAACACAGATGAGGTATATGATAGTTAAATGCCTTTGAACGCACAGCTTAAAAACACTGGTAACAGAGGGCAATAGTAATATTTACAAGGTCTGGGACATTCTGTGTAGCAGGTTTTAAAGAAAATGGTGCAGTTATTGTGAAACATGAGCACTGAGTTAAGGAACAGAAGTATGGCTGACATATCGTAAGATGATTCTTCTATAATGACTAAATAACTTTTAGTTTAATTAAATCACTGCAGTTAAGGGAACACTGAGAATTTAAGACATGGTAAAGCTGAACCACAGAAAGGCTCCTACAGTTTCAGGATATTTTCTTTGTGCTACAACTACATTACCATTTCCTAATGCATGAACACCTTGTCTTCACTGATAAAAAAAAAAAAACTAAGCTAATAAGGAAGAGACAAAAAAAATACAGCTATTTGGAAGTGGTTTCCTTACATGGAGTTCTGCATTTGAAAGAAAATCTGAGGCTTTCAGAAGGCCCAAGACCAATACCTGAGGAGTGGAGGTGATGGAAAGTGTTGAAGACTGCTGGCAATATTAGCTGTGTATAGGTTCAGCCCATGACTTAAGATTGCTAGCAACGATATTTTCATGGACATGAAATCTATCCTCTACTTTGTAGCATACTTTTTAATCAAGATAATACAAACACTGGGCCCACATTCTCATGGTTTAAATTAGCATAACCTCTTTGAAATCAGTGATGCAAGTTTCATATCAGCTGAACTTTCTGGGACAATTCAAAACATGGGATGTGGATTATAAATTCTGCACAGAAAATTAGGACATGCTTAGCAAAAAATGCCTGATCACTAGAAACGCTTTGTAGTGTGGAATCTCTCATTTGTAGAAGCATTTGACCTTAGTATGTATATATATACATGTACACACACACACACACACACACACATATATATATATAAAATACAGAGAATTTGCCTAGAGACAACGCTACTTGGTAGAACAGAGCAAAGCAAAATGCTCACATACCAATTAAAAAGATGGCATCTGATGCAGATTTTCCAAACTGTTGTTCGAAATATTTGGGCATGAAGGATATCATGCCAATGAAGGCATTGAACTGTAACACTGTTACGCTTATGAACAACATATAAACTGGGTTGCGAAACAGAGCCTTGAGAAACGGGATGAAATCTGGAATGAAACAATGTGATGTGTTAGTGTGATGCTTTATGAAGTGAATTGCCCATTGCTCAATGTGGCTGAGGGAGGAAGAGGGGAACAGAACGGTCCTTAACAGGATCAGGCTAATTTTTGTGCTTTGCCAGACACCACAGGCCAAAGATTACTTGCTTAGCCCTGGCTACCCCACCATGTCTCTTCTACACAAAGATATCCTCACACACACACACATGCACACCCATGCTTATAAAAGAAAAAAAAAATCACAGTAATAACCTTATCATAAAAGCTTCCTGAAACTTTTTAGCTGTACATTGACTGAACTTTGCAGCTACAGATTTGCAGCAGCATCTACACCAGACATGACCGCAGTCATTCCCACCATACTCTCAAAGTCTGGATTTGCCAGTCTTCAGCCAAGTAAGCATCTGAGAAACTATTTCACACAGGTCTTTCCTCTGCATAATGCCTACTAAGTCAGGATATGAGCCATAAAAAAATTCCACAGTCCCTCTTTTTCTAACGTTCTCTATTAATTAATGTGCTGAGCTGTTGTCAAGAAACCCTGCAGAAAAACATAAGCATCTGTAAAACAATGACCACGCTTCACTGAAAGTGGGCACCACTTTGGATGGATATATATCTTTCAGAGGTAGGCAAGTATCTTACTAGAAGAGGATCTCTATGCAAGTGTTGCAAAAATGAGTTAAATATATGAAACACTATAAATAGGCTGTGTTATTTATATGCCATGCAGCTTATAATAAGAACTTTCCGAGGAAGAGATTAATTTTAACTATAAATACTTCCATTTTCAACTTGAAATCCCTGTCACTTAAAAAGCTGCTTGAACACATCCTGGTCAACTGTCTGTAAGTGGCCCTGCTTGAGCAGGGAGTTGGACCAGGTGACCTTCAGAGGTTCCTTTCATTCTCAACCATTCTGTGAAATGAAAGGATTATTAATTCAGGATATTCACAGACAGTGGACATTTACACGAACATAGGGAATGATGATGAAAACACAAGCTCTGAAGGGACTCTGGAGTACTAGGACCCACAGTCTGAGCTAGGAACCTTTCCTCACCAGAGCAGCATTTTATTCATGGGTTCATTTAAGGCTACATGACAGCAGAGAAAGATGCCATACTTATCAAAATGAAGTTGCAATATCAGCCAAGGTCTGAGCACCCACTCTGAGTATGGTGAATTTACAGGACTCAGCTTGAAACACGATGGAGAGGTAGCTGGCACTTGGCACTTACTTTCTGCAAATGAAGATCCTGTCAAGGGCCCCTGAGCTGACTATACAGAATCAATAGACTACTCTGAAGATCATAGCCTTTGACATATTTTGTTCACTTATGTTTCCAACTTGCACAAAAAATGGAAGGAAAAAAATGGCTTCCTACACACATACAGATCTGAAAGACCACAGATGTGAATGTTGCCAAAGGTAACATGAATAAATGTAAGTCAAATAGATCCTTGTTCTACAGCTATTAAATGTTTCTCAAGCACGTGTCAATTCCCTTTTATGGCTTTAAGGTGGACTCAAGAAATACACAAGATGTATGCTGGTTTTCTGCTTTTCTGCACCGTGAATGTGGGGTACAAGCAACTAATATCTTGTCCACAGCCCACTGAGGTGTCATATTCTTAACCAGATTTCAGTGCATTAATACTCTACCAGGAAGATCCAGATCTACATACACCTGAAACGCAGGAGGGGGAAAGGAGTGAATCCAGATTCCGGATCTACAAAATTAGCTTTCTTCCTCTGCATGGAACCATTCTAAATCCCTGCACAAATCCTTTGTACTACATAGAGATTAAAAACAGAGTATGCATTTCATACCTTTGACCCATCTTTACTTACAAAAACACACAGACATAGTTCACATCTTAAGGACAAAATTAAGAAGGAAATAAAATACAATACAACTTGCCTTTAGCAGTTTCATACATGGTCTGTTTGGCTTCAGTTTTATCATGCAACAGTACTACACTTTTTTCACTCATCTCCACAGGTTTCTTGGTTTCTCCTTCCTTCACAAGTGACTTGGGCAAAAACCAAAAAGGTATTCCCGCAAGAAGGTTCAGTAATGCACAAATTAAAATGCCCAGCCACCATGCACCAACCCAGCGGGCATCAGTAGCTCTTATAGTTATGTCCCCTATTAAAAAAAAAAAAAAAAAACAAAAAAAAAAACCACACATCTTGTATTAGTTCAGAAACATTCTTTGTTGTCATTGTCTGTTTCTTAGTCACCTCTGACATGTGATATATTAAAAGCATTTTAAAGATTCTTAACATGACACTGATGAAAGAGAATAGTCTCTAGTCTTCTTTTCTAATGTTACTAATTTTCTGGCAAATTTCAGTGTTTTATATTAAATTAATTCTATTCTTTTCCTATGTTAAGACAGATAACACAATTGTTCATCAAATAATTTATATGCAGATTCATTCGTGTATGTGTGAATTTGGGCCTTTTATTGAATTGAATATTATATATAGATTTTCCATTCTAAAGGAAATACCTGCAAACTCAGAAAAAATTAAAACAACTCATATTAGCAAAGAAACATCTTAGTGCTGATAAATACACGATCATGCCTACCAATTTATATGTAAGATTTTTATATATTCATCCATTACCTGCATCTACTGATCCCAGATCAACAAACTGTTGTGCACAGAATGATGCCAACAAGCTACCAATGAAGGGGCCGATTACAGCTGCAGTATGCAGACATCCTAAAGTTTGAAAAAGAGAAAACATGCTAAATTATAACCTGGACATAAGTATTTTCTTGGAATTGTTAAATATGTTTAGGACAGCTCCACTGAATAGACATTTGCACCTAAAAATGGCCTAATTTCAACAAGTTGATCTCTAGTTAAACCACAATATTTTTGTTAAATATAGGTAAATTACAATATTTAAAGCTCTACACTATTATTATTTTGATAAGGCAGTAATGTCTGTCTTCTCTCTTCCTTTATTGAACTGAAGGGGTCATAACAACCCTCTCTTTTGCTTTTGCTTACATGTGTGCTCATTTGGGGGAGGGGAGTTATCACAATAGTGTAGATTTACCCAGGTAGAAAGGCGAATTCTCTGCTTTGGCAAAATCCTCCAAATATGAAATGCCTAAAGGCATGATGGGAGTTTCACCCATTCCTCTTACTATGTTTCCAACCATCACAAATATCCACAGCAAGGACCCAGGCTCTTTTTTACATTCTGTGAATAAAATAAGAAGCCAGAATTAATGTTTTCATTCTAACTATTGATGAAATTCCAGAGACAATGAATCAACTAACAGCTTCAGCTTTGGTGGGTAGATCTGTCCTGTAAAACAGGGACATAAGAGTTGCTCCAGAGCTGGAAGAAGCTTTTGTACTTGAAGTAGAGTTTAAATCCCTTCCCTCTCTGTGTCATACCTTGTCCAACCACCTGGCAGTCCAACCACTGCATAACCTAGGCCCTTCCTTTTACTCATTTCTCTCACCAAAACTGCCATTTTCATGTCAGGGAGGAGAAGAGAGCACCTGAACATCAGTGATTAAGGGATGAAAAATCATGCCTGACTAACCTGATCACCTCCTATAACAAAGTAATGCTTTCTTGTCAACATGGGGAGAGGAGTGGGTGTTTTTTACCTGGACTTCATCAAAGCATTTGCTACTGTTTTCTATAGCCTTCTCCTAGACAACCTGGCAAGGTACAGACTGGGTGGACAGTCTGCAAGATGGGTGAGAAATTGGCTCATAGACCACACTCAGAGGGTGGCGATCAATGGCTTTACTCAGGCTGGCAGCCTGTCACAAGTGGGTCCCCAAGGGACTGTTACTGGTCCTCATGCTATTCAACACCTTCATAAATGATGACACCAAACTGGCTGGTAAGGTGGACACATCAGGAGGGAGATCTATCTTACACAGAGACCTTGACAGTCTGGAAGAGTGGACTAGCAAGGATAGTATGATCATCTCCCTGAAATTCAGAAGCCTTTGCAATGATTCAGGTAATTGTTGCATAAGGCCCATATGTTTTCATTTGATTATAAAAACATTGTCTGAAATAAACCAGAAGAGTTCCTGATTTCACAGTGACGTGCCACCATTTGCTTACAAGAAAGCCATGCCAGTGCAGAAGATGTGGTGCTGTTCTACCTTTGCATAGAATGAGATTTCTGAGCTTTTCAGCTTCTTTGCCTTGATTCAGACTGCTAGTTTCTGGTTTACTAATGTTTATAAGCCCCCAGAAAAGCACATGGAGAGTAAATTCATCTGTGTCTAAATCATTGGCTGTTTGCTGGTAACTTCAGTCAGTACTCTGTACAACAGTTGCCACCTGGCAACCCCAGCTTGGACTCTTACCTCAAAGATCTGTTCTAGCACTACAGATTTTTGCCTTGCATATCAATGACCTCCCTACCCAAAAAGTTCATCTGTCCTGATGTATTTGCTCAAGTATTGAATTTCAGATTTGGGTCATCTTGAGGACAATGCAAATTCTGATTTGGCAAATAATGTAAAAATTCTACCATATTTGGCACATACCACCAAAACAGAAAGCTTTTCTACCTCCATCATACCTCTGCAACTCAGAAGGTCAGTGTTTCCCTGAACAGGCACCCGTTGGAACATAGCCCACAGTCTGCCCATCTGGGTGCTGCTCTGAGGAAGTCTCTGACTCACTGTGGTATTTATACAACTCTTGATCAAAATCAAGATCCATAACAATATATCTGGCCCACCTGTTGATTCTATCTGGGTATCTAGCTCTCATTTATTCACATCTGTCCTGCTACATTACTCAGCCAAAGAATGCTGTGCTGCAACACAATCCTGTTTTTCCCACATCAGAATAGTTATAAACTATTATGACCTTTAGTACTTTCTTTCTTTCCTTGACCCTGAATTTCTTCGTCCCATACAGTCTGCTTCAGATTTCTCCATTCTCTGTGGTCCACTTTGTCATGCTGAGACTTCTCAGTGCCAATTTGTTAACAAATAAAAACCAGCTTTGCTAGCAGCAACTGATGACTTTCTAAATGAAAGCATTACTGTTCAGAGATCAAGCCTGGATCTCCTGTATCAGGGTCAGATTGCTGTCAGCAAACATGGGTGAAGCAATCCACGTGCAGATGCGGTCAACTTCAAACCAGTTTTTCACCCCACAGGAAATGGACTCATATGTACGAACATCACAGTTTTGCTTCTCCATAAACTAACAGGGAAACAGTCACCTACCCAAGTATTGTCATAGGCTTGAGGACCAATGGGTTGTAGTGTTTACACTGAATGGCTGTATAATTTAGAAGAAAATGCTTTACCTATCTATACCTTAATTTGTGCATTTATAAAGTGAAGAAAAACAGTATCTGAAATCTTCAAATGAGAGATTAACATGGAGTCCTATTAAGTATCCATTTTTCTCAACTTTCCATTGTGAAGATGGAAAAATTATTGCTTTAATTGACATGCAGTCTTGGAAAGCTCAGAAGCCACATCCACTGCTGAATGAAGACACAGAAAACTACAGTACAACAGCACTACGGTTTGATGTCACGGCGTAGATACAATATCACAGCAGTGTGATTTAGCTTTAACACTCCTTGATGGAACACCTTCACAAAATATGACAATTAACTGTGGGATTCATCTCACCTAACTTTTGCCATCCACCAACGATGTAAGTTTCCAACAGTCAGTAGGCGCATCCAGGAGGCAATCTGGCCTATCCTAACGTAAAAAGCATGAATGTTCTTACAGCAAGGGACACACTCTGCAAGGGCTCTCTTGTCTCCTTTGACCAACTATCAAGGGAGCTTAAAGAAACAGTTAAACAAATGCTTCCCTTTGAAGTAGCTGAAGACTCAGAAGATTAATCCCATCCTCAGTGTGAGGATTTTGTGTATGATCATTTAATAGTTGCCTCTAAGCCTTTTGATTTAATAGTAGTTAGTTTATATGCATATTGCTAGTGTACATACATGTTTCAGTCTCCCAGAACTCATCCAGCCTGGTTTAAACTATTTTCTCTTTTCTCTATAAAGGAAATGAGATCCACTTTTTTGCTCTATCTCTGTTTCTCATTCTTTCATTTCTTGTGTGGTACAATGAAAAAGTATTCTGATGCCTTTTACACATTGTTTAAATAAATTTCTCACCTCCTCACAGTATCATAGCATTTCAAGTCAAAAAGAGAAAAATTTGTGAGAACAACCTGACATTTCCCCAAAGTGGACTGACAGGGATGTTAACAGAGCTGTTTGGATACTATGAAAACTGCATGAAAAAATCTACAGTTCTGGAGTCATGCAATAAAGAAACAAGAGGGCTAGGAAATTTCCTGACCTCTAGTTTTTATGCCTGCAAAAAGTAGTGATCAAAAGCAGGACCCTGAAATAATTACTAATAAAAATAAAATCCCATTTACTTAAACACTATAAAAACCGAGGAAAAAGTATTAGCAGACACAGGAAGAGTTGTACCTGTTGATGATTCCTCTGTAGGTAAAGAGAACAAGCTTTGATTAACAAGGCACAGAGGCATGACTGAAGAATTCTCCTGTGGTGAAATACTGCTTTCAATACGATGCCTGTTTCAACCAAAGGAAAGCATGTATAGATTAAGAAGAAATACATCAGAACCACCTCATAAATCTGTACTTCAGTAGTGAAGCTATCTATAAGAAGAAGGAAACCCACATCAAAAGTTAAGTGAGCCTCAGTAAGAAATCAGGCTAGGAACAAAGGAACTCTATCAGGGAACCAATTCAGTATATTATCCAGACTGATATCTAGCCCCTAACATAATATTGTAACAGATACTTGAGAACAAGTTGATGAAACACCCTAATGAAATCCCTTGTATCATCTTCTCTCCTATTCTTCTTCCATTCTAATCCAATTTACACCCTAAACACAGGGTGCCACCAAGGCTGTCAGAACCACATACCACATTGGGCATAACAAGATTAAAGCATCTTCTTTTCTGAAGAGATATTTCATTGATTAAAATATAGACAGGTCTAGGTCATTGTTTTGTTAAGCAAATACAGTGAAAAAGTGGTTAAAGAATCATTATGGTCTGTAAAGGTCTTGCCAACACAGCAATCAGGTATGATCTGCCATCCAGCCTCCAGACTAAAAACATCTTTAAAAATCATCTTGTATTGCCCATCCAAGCAGATAAGAGCTAGTAGTGTAATGTGACAGTGTTACAGGGGACTGTTTCTTCAGAGAATCCACCCAAGGGATAGCACAAGGAGGAAGGCAAGGCCAGGCAAGGCAAGGTGCACAGCAGAGGGGTGACCCTCCTCAGAAAGTGATGACTGACTTTTGAAGGCATCTCAGAAACAAAAAAAACCAAGATGCTCTACAATCACCATACTGTACCCATGCGCGGTAACGTCTCAATAAGCAATGCTATTTCAGTGGGAGAAGTTATGGATAAAGGTAGATAATGATCACGGAAGCTTCTATGAGGTAAGCAAAATACTCACCTTCCAAGTAGGAAATGAGGAAGTGATATCAAAATACATCCAAATGACAGAATTGTGCAGCCCAAAGCAATTATTCTGGGTCTGTGAAGCTTTGCTCCAAAGTAACTCACAAATGCTATCAGCAGCAAGTTGCCTGCAAAAAGAACCTGGTTCATATTTACAAACCAAGGCATCCTTTAAAAGGTATAAAGTGCAACACAAATTTGAGTCTACCTTGTTAGCTCAACAACTGGTATTTCTCTTTTCTTGTAAAAACTGTAACTAGACAGGGAACTGCCTAAGTAATGCTGTAATTCCCTCCTACCCGTGATCTTTTTCTTGGAGAGTTAGACCAAGTGGAAAGAATGTAAGAATAGAAGGCAGAATGGAGAATGGTGAAAAAGATTTTTAGCTGCATCTATGTAGAAAATAAATTTCCCTCTACTACACATAGAGACCAGGCCCAGGAGCTGCAGAATAATAGCTGGTTTAGGAAGTTATTCACTTAGGATACTCTGTTTCACAATGTGTGGGAAAATGCAGAAGTATGTATGCAATTGTTTTTGTACTGAAAATAATAAGATGACATACAGAAAAATAAGGAATAATAAATGAATATTAATTTCAGTAACAGTTGAAGAGGAATAAGAAAATACGTATTTTTTGTACCTAGTACCATTTAAAAATACAAATGTGCTGAAAGACTTAATTCTCTTTTCCTCCACTTTCACTTCAGAGTCAGTTTATTTTCTCTACTCTTCATTTATTGCTATGCAACTAGGAAAAGAATCAAGCTTCATGTTATGAATTGGGCCCCATAAAAATAACAATTTAGTAATCATACACCTACTAATTCTGTGATCTTTTTGTCAAAAGAACAAAACCATGTCTCTGAGTGATGAGCACTATGCTCTGAAAGAAGATAACATCTTTTTTTTTTTTTAATGTGTGATTGCTAGACAGACTGTATTGAACCAGTGGCCTGAATGACACTTAAAAGATATACTCTTACATGATCCTAATAAGTTACTTATGTCTGCCTCATACACTGACTCTTAATAATTTCAAATATGAATATGATAATTCATGGTTATTTTATATCCTTGGAGATAAGAACGCCACAAATTTTTTATAGAAAGGTGCATATGAGAGGATATTTTATTTAAAATAATAAGCCTTTTACATACCACTTCATTAATCTTGGTCATTTCTTATTTCTTAAAGTCTCCTCATTATCAGAAGCAAGAATATATCCTGAGTATTCCATCTCTATCATAACTTTGAGCTGCCCCATCAGACTGCTTTTCAGGCAGCAGCACGGTGCTGCCAGCAGTTTCTACTTCTTGCACATGCAGATATAGGAGACCAGGAAAAGGGGAGGAAGGAGCCTTGTCTCCCCTCCCCATCAATGTATATGAGCCTCTGCTGACCCAGAGATAATAAAGATCCACATTGTGACTTTAAAGGTATAAAACACATCCTCTGAGGATCTCTGTTTAGATGTGTTTGAAGCTATCAAGCCTTTTATTTGGCTTTTTTGGCAATGACAAGACATAAGCTTGTCACTGGGCAAAAACTCACTGATATGCAAGGTAAGGGCCACTAAAAGTAGAACTGGAAACTTTATTTACAGTTGTACAAGTACAAAATCTTGAAATACTATTGAGTTTGAGTAAGGAGACAATCCACTCCAACCAACTCTGAGGTCACTGGTTAAAAGAACTGTTAAATGCTAAATATGACCTTAAATTCAAACAAAGTTTATAAAACCTGGGGTTTTTTTTCAGAAAGATTCAATACAAAGCTCGTAAACTTGTTCTATTTTGTTAGTTCTTATGTCATATCTTGCAATCATGCAGAAATTATCTGAACCAGCTTTTAACTCTAAACTTCCTCATTTAAGTTGTCCTGTTAGTTTCCAAGACAGTAAATATGTAAGTACCAGCTGAAACAGTAGGATAAAGTAGGACATTATTGTCACATACAGTAATTGACACATTGCTATGGACATGGAAGTCACTAACACATGCTCAGCCAACATATTGTATTTTTAAAGAATAAGAAATATTAAAATGAGGGATTACCAATTTCAAAGCTTCCATTAATGATCCCCACCAAAGAAGATGGAATATTAAATTGTTTCTCTATCTGTGTATACATGCTGTTCATGTAAGCACCAGACATCGTTTTACCAATGTATGCAAGAGACAGTGCCATCAGAAATACCTAGGAAGGAAAGACGAGAATGCATAAAGATTTCAAATTACATATTTAGGAATATTCCATGGTTATTTTCCCCACCAAATATGTGCTTCCAGGTAAAACAAGTGAACAGTTCTGTTCCACTGATATATGCGTGTAAATCCCATCATCTATCCATGTCCACAGAGTTATGGCTTCACTAAAACAAACAAACAAACAAACAAACAAACAAAAAAAAGGTTGTGAAGGATTGTGTTCTTCACCTGTTCCCACTGACCAAGTCTGTCTTCAGAAACCTCGAGCACCATTTCCCCAGACAAGACAGGAGCAGCACAACCTCTCCCACCGTGTGTCTGTTGCAAGATTTCCATCTGCAGGGCTGCGTAAGGACTGCAGCCAGACCAGGGTGCGAAGACCTTGGCACTCTTTGCACATCTGAATGACAAACTACTTGCAGAACTAAGATCATTTCCTTTGATCAAATTACTTGATCAAGTATCTACTCTCCCATCTCAGTAGAGGTCATAAGCCCAGAAAAAGTAATTTCAAACAGGAGAAATGTGTTCTTTTTAGGCAAAAATCTATCAGCAACTGACAGTAAAAAAAAAAATATGCAGTAGTATTCAAATCCTTTTAACTTTGGGGTTCTTAATAAACAGTATTTATGAAATGAAATCAATAATATTTTTAGATATCTCTGTTGCAAATGGTAAAAAGCATAAGTAATGTATTTGGGCTTTGTGTTACTATTAAAACCAAGCTATTTTACAACTTTTTATAGCGCTCATTGACAACTTGCATAGTCTAGGGTACATCAACAGCCAATTTTTACTGCTTTACAATTTTTCATAACTTCACAGGTTTAAGAAGGAATGGTAAACACGTCAGACTAGGTGGGTTACACAAATTCAGAGGTGGAGATTCAAAGCAGCAACGAACCATACCTCCAACAGATTACAGAGTGTAAATTTCAGGGACATAAAAAACAACACATGATTGTTTACAAACTTTCTTGACCTCAGTTAAGGCATTAAGGATAAGGAAAAAAAACAGAGCTTATTCATTCATTTAGTCTAGGTTGTAACTTCTACCTAACCACTACAAGTGCAAGCAATTACAGCTGTGTGTTCATACAAAATTGCTACAATATTTCTGTACCTTCAGCTTGGAAACGCAGCAGAATTTTTCCTCTGCATGTGGCTTCTCAGCTTCTTTCATTTTGCCTTTTTTAATTGATCCTGATGCCTGTTTCTGAGTCTGTCCAATGATCCCATTACAGCGTTGAAAAAGACAAAAGAAAAAAATAAATGTTTTTGTCCCCTGTGTAAGGTATTTGACATTTGAGTGTCTTCCTTAAATAACTGCGAAGTGGATTCCAAAAAAACTGTATTCCTACAAAAGCTCCAAGCCTGTATACCTTATTCTAACCAAGAAAATTTGACATGTGAATGTCAACAATGTAACAGCTAGCTACTTGTCATCAGATACCGAATGCTGTCAGCAGCATACAACCAGTAAGCAAAGAACAGAGAAAAGAGATGTTCTGAGGGCAAGCTGGTTTGTCTGTCCTCTTCACAAGCATTTGGTATTGACCACTGTGGCAGACACGTTGACTGACATATACCTGTCTCCATGATCTTTATTTACTATGCCTGTCCTTGCTAGCCATAAAAGGACATTTGGTTCTGCTCTGTGTGTTCTGTTGAGCCCTCCCCTCTTCCACCAGCATAAATGTAAATTTGTTAATTTTAATAGAAACGATATTGGAGACAAATCTCTTGACACTAAAATTAGAAGGAGAAAAAATAAAACCAAAACTGCCAGACCAAATTAGGCTTTGAGCAAACTGGTCTAGTGGAAGGTGTCCCTGCCCAGGGCAGGGGGGTTGGAAATCAACAATCCTTAAGGTCCCTTCTAACCCGAACCATTCTAGGATTCTACAATTCTAAATTAAGTTCTAAACGGAAACAAACCAGACTCTGTTCTTCTTCCCCTCCCAAGATTTGCAAAAACATCCCTCTCTATTTGTCTGCCTACTTTTACTCATCTCCATCTCAACTTGATGGTTAAATCTTCTGGTAGCAGTAAGCCAGCTGCTTTCTTACACATCTCACCTATTTCCCAGATATGTGTTCAAAGAAGGAGAAATATATTCCAGGGATTTGGAATACACTTACCTGTGAAAGCTCCTACACATCTGAGAGTTAGTGCAATTAGTTAAATAGGTAAAACACCATTTTAAAGAGGACCACCACAAAGTCTTCATTAAATCAAGTTATTCAGTACAGTTCCCTGCTGCCTGATGGGGTAAGCTGAAGAAAACCAGGGCAAGTCAGAGCCCTACCTTACAGTCAGGATGGATATAGTTAATTCCCTCTTTTTCTTCTCCAATGTACTCTCCAATTGCAATCTTGCAGCAGCTGCTCTTCTCTATGTTTTCCACTTCATGGAGCCACAGCTGGGAAGCAAACTGTCCTTGACAAACCCACCAATAGGACTGACTTGCCTTTCACATTCTTCAACACAACAACCCCCAGCCAATCTTTTCACACATTAATTTCTACAACAATGTTAATCCTCTCAAAGGTGTCTTAACTAACTTGATTCCTAGCAAATTCACAGGCATTAACTCCTTCTACAGGTACCTCATAATTTTCAGTCTTTAAAAGTGCAATGCATTATTATAGCATTCCTGGAAATACTTACTTTACAATTAAGTGTAGGTGGTCAGCAACTCAGACAATTAACTACGATATATAAACATTTTGCATTTCTGCTTTGCTTACACAAACTGTATTCAGTCACAGTACTAAACTGTGCTTATACAGCTTTGCACTTTCTTCGCAATTTGGCATAAAAGTTTGTATCACAGGGAATTGCTTATGCCTTATCTTAATACCTTTTATTCAGACTGCAGCCCACCTGTAATGCAAAAGGTGAGCAACAGAACAAAGACTGCAGTCCACTATGTCTGCCCTCTTCTGCTCCTAGGAGTTTAAAATGGGATTCTGTCCCTTATTATACCAGTCTCTGCATTTCACTAACACATACACAAGGAGCATCATCTGGCTAATTACAGGTTTTCTCTTCTGTTCCTAAAAGAAACCAGCCAGGAACCTCTGCCCAAGTATCTCTTGGGGCATCAGAAACATCACGCTGCCCCTCATACAATTACAGGTGACCAAATGGCAACGTTTGCCTTTATTTATTATTACCTTCCCTCAAAGCAGAAATTATGGTAGAAAAAAATGCATTTCAATCTATTTTTTACTGGGAAGATATTAAAATTATTAATTGAACAAAATAGAATTATTATTTCCAACTCTGTTCATGAGGTTGCTTTCTTCAGCTTTAAAATATTTTTGTGATCACACTTGATCAAATGGAACTGAAGCCAACACAGCCTAACAGTCTACATTATCAGAGAGATGTAGGTATGTAACTCACTCAGCTCAGGTGCATTTACACCACGCTTTGAATCCAGGTTAGAACTCAGACTACCATTTCTGTGCCTGAAGATGAACCAATGGTGTTCCCACTCCCTTCTTCCATCTCCCTGCTCTCTGTTGTACATTCCTGTTGCTTACCTTGCTTCCACTCTTGATCCACAGGCAACCAGAAAGACAGATAGGTTATTAGAAGACTTGTTTCTAGAAGACATCCACTTTACATAGTGCACAAAGAACTAAAGAGCACAGTGTGGACAGTTTTAGTACAGGCTACAGCTACAAAGTACATACACAGAATACAGCATCTGATGTAATTTGGGCTAAACAGAGTTGGCTTAAAAACAAAGCAGATACATCCTGTGTGGATCAAAGATCAAAGCAGGTTTATTAGGTGTAGCTGTCAACAGCAGGGAGGCTAGCATTGAGAAACATGAATTTGGACCCATTTGTCCTACACAAACCCGTAAATACCTTTTATAGTTTTAAACTACATTTCAGCTTAGCTAACCAATAGAAAGGAGAACAAAAGCACACAAATGTCTAGATTTAAATGTGTACAAAGCAATATTCTGCAAGTTGCCTTGCCTGAGTCCCAAGAGGATATCCTAGTTTCCATGTAACATGCATCTTCTATTTGGCTCAGTTTACTCATATGGATAAACTTGTAAGTCCCCTTGTTTTGTTTACAAACAAGATTAAAAATCACATGAGGTAACCAAGCAGAGAGCATTTATAGTATCAGAATTTTAACTAATTCACTTTTCCTGTTGCAAAAAAGTATTTTGAAATCTTGTTTTACTAGGCATAGTTCAAACTGTTACTCAAATGCAATTACATTAATGTCAAACTGAGACAAAGGAAAATATTCCCATGGCAAAACAATTAGGTACTTACAATTTTGAAAAGGTTTTCAGAATAAATGGTTGATATGGTATGCTTGAACTTTGACTTCTGTTCTAAATTGTTAACAATTAACCCAAGTATACTTATTGCAGAATTTGTGTCTTTGCCAAATATTTTCAGATGTGCATTTTAGAGTATGCACTCGTATGTGAGAGACACTGGCTGAGTTCTTCATTAGAAAAAAGTTAAACCCATCTCTTTCTCTTCCCTCCCCCCACCCCCCCAACCAAGGCCAAGAGCTACATCTGTGTCAGATTCCTAAGCGCTGACACTCCTGCCCACTGAAGACATCCAGAGAGTCTTCATAGACAGGAAAGAAACTTTAAGAGTGCACGTAACTGTGTAGGTTTTCAGGCTAGGTGGTGTCCTAGCAAACAGTGACACAAGGTCAGACTGGAAGAGGAGAACGAGTTTGTGTTTCTCATGTCTTGAGAAGGCGTTTAAGCCTTGAGATAGTGGGTGGAAAGCAGTGCAGGCATAATTATTGGCCTGTTCTTGCTGTCTTGGAATGATTTGGAAGAAAGTCTAGTCCTGAGTTCATATGAAGCACTTGGAGGCTCAGCTGTAGGGCACAACTGGGTCTGAACCAAAAGTGGAGAAAATTACCTCAGTTCCTGAAGCACAGGGGCATAATATCACTCTTGTCAGCATCCCCAAGCTGCTGGTCTTCAGTGTTTCTTCTCAGTGTAACAGCCTTTCTGGATCTATTTTCAAAGTATCCGAGTTTAACCACCTACTACATAACTGGGATGTTATTAGTTCTAGAAGGGGGCAAAGATCCTAATAAGTAGGCACTACAACATTCACTAGGAGCACTCTTTAAAGAAATTTGTTGAATTATGACAGTTCACCATGCAAAAGTGAAAGATAAAATAGCCACTCATAGTCACATAGCTACTGTGGTTGTCCTACAGACTGGATGCTGCTCGTTACTGATTACTGGATGTTACAAAATCAGAGAGTAGTTTGACCAAGTGTAAACAGTTCTAGCTAATGTGACAAGAAGACATTATGGGACTTTGATCAAATTGGGTAGACATCACATCTAAGAATCAGTAGATACATCTTCAAATATTGGTGCTGAAGCAGGTTTCATCTGTGACCCTAAGTCTCTTGATGACTGTTGTGTTTGTCTCTCTCACAGAAATAACTACTAATGCACATGAAAAGCCTAAACTCAAGGTCTAAAAAGTGTGGTGAGCATGGGATTTGGATTAATGAAGACTTGTCTTTGAGCACAGCCTCCAGGACAGCATTTCTCAGCTTTCTGAGGGAGCACTCAACCTTCCTGAAAAACCTCCCTGCGCTACCACATACGCTATGTGGTTATGCTGCTGGGAGGGGGAAACAACACACCAGCAAGGTACTGTGTAACAAAAAATGCTAAGTATGTTTTTGTCTCAGAAACTTAAAAACCTGCTGCTGCACTGAGAAATATTTTGTACGCCCTCTGCTGATGCCTTACAGACCATTGGTGGCTGACGATCCTGGCCTCCTCAGTGCCGCACCAGAGCATGAGATAAGGCATTTTTACCTGTTATTTCTCAGAATATAAGTTCACAATTTTATAAATTTCTGAGAGCATATTTTCTCACTTCACGCACACACTAGAAAATTTCTCAAGTAAAAATCTATTAACACGCTTCCAATATGTGAAAAACTTCATTCTCCCTCAGAAAACATGCATTTTATGACAGCTATGGTGCTGCTTTCTGTTCTTGCTTCATGATGGTCTCCAAATCACACTTGATGGCTGTCTGTACTGGGATTTCTGAACATCAAGTTAAAGGTAGAAACAGAATTTCTATTTCTAGTTAGATTCCCTTTAACTAAAATCTTAGGTAAAGTCTTATTTCCCACTATGAT